CCTTGTTCTCCTGCTGAAGCCTCCGGTGATCCTCGTCTCTCTCCCGTTCTACCCTTATCAAGTCGGATTCGTGTATTCTCGTCAGCGCCCCTTTCTGCTGGTCTAGAGCCTCGCGCTTCTCGTCCTCCAACCTGTGTCGTCACAACAAATTGTAATTAGTCACACCCTGTCTCCCTGTTGGCCCACTGCGTATTACCCTTCCTTCGGCCATCTATTTGTGCTACATTAATTAGTACGTCACACCATAAGCTACGAATCGTGGCTCCGTCCACATCAAAGCGGTGTTATCACGAACAAGTACCAAGTTCTCTTTCGAAACCCACCTGTTTCTTAGGTCGGCGAGGAGTACTTCGGTCCTCCTGAGTTCTCCCTCTCTCAGCTGGCGCAGATTAAGTTCGTGCGTGCGCCTCAGTGCCTTCCTGGCGGTTATTTCCTCCTCCAACCGTATGCGTGCCTCGGACAGTTCGCTCTGAAGTCTGTGGATCAAGAAAATATAGAAATTTATTTGTAAGGTCACTGTGGTGATTGCAAAGTTTATTTTGCTTTATCTGCATATTTTTGCAACATAATTTGCTATCTGCTTCCCCAAAATAAGATCGACGGCGCCCTTACCTTTCTTTTTCGACGTTGAGTCTGTTACATTCAGCCTGTAGCCGGTCCTTCTCAGAGTCGTACTTCTTGGTGAAGGTTCCCTCTCGCCTCATGGACGGCAGACATACTCCCGACCACATGGAGCTCCTCTCCGGCAGCGGTCTCAGTGGCTGCAGGTACAGGCTCCTCAAGGGGTCCCGATTTGGCCTCGAGCTCTCTTGCGGTTCCTTCAAGGTCACCTTCTTATCCCAGGTGACGTTCTTCGGGACCTTAGGATCGGATTTCTTTCTTAAAACTTTCGTGTTCCTTTCGTCTGAGGCAGGGGCTGCCTTAGAACTCGCAGCATCCCTGGATCTGGTGAGCTTCGACCCTTTCTCTGAAGAATCCTGCGCCTTCATGGCTGTTCTCCAGGCGCTCACAAAAGTTCTTTTGGCCGTGTTCTTGAGCGATGTTACCGTCGAGCTTTGTTCTTGGGGCTTTGCAGCCGCATCCTTTGCTCTGACGGTTTTGGCTTGATTCTGCGGTGAACGACTCTTTGACCTGCTCCTTGGACTTCTTTCTGCGCGTGCCTTCATCGCCTGCGGTTCTTCCGGTTTCTTCACTTCGCACGAGTCAAGGTCGACGAAGAAGATGACGGGTTCCCTGGAGTCGTCCAGAAGGGAGGACTCCTTCCGGCTGGCATCTCCGACAGCGTCGCAGGAAGACTTCGTGATCTTGGCTGGAGGGGGGCCGTCAAGGGTAAAGGTTCCCTCGCGCTTGACGGTCGCCTGGCAGGAGGTGGGATTAGATTCTTCCTCCGTCGAGGAAATTAGATTGATATTTTCCTTACTTAATTGTCTGGCGTGGAATTCGTCTTCTCCTCTATCTAAACATATTTCGAGTTCTTGTCCTTCCAGTACAGGGCCCTCCACGAGGTAGATTTCGCATTCACTAGTTTTCGCGGCAGACTCTGCGCTGGCCGGTGAGGTTTCATCGTTTTCTTTTGACGCCGAGTCATGTTCCTTCTCGAGGAGAGACGTATTGTTTTCGTTTTCGACGCGCGGCGACAGGTCGTTTTCAATCTCCTGCGTCGAAGGAATTGGCACCGTTGGCACTCCTGCCTCCACGCTGACGTCATGATTGGCACTATCAGCTGCGGCCGAGAGAGGCTCTGCGCTCGGGGACCCGCCCGCAGCAGCTGCGGCCGAGGGCTCTGTTGCATCACAGTCTGGAGAGCTGACGTCACTTACATCAACATGGTGCTTTACGTCAACTTCAAATTTATAATGGCCCTTAGGGGATGAAGGAAGCGGTTCCCTGGTCCTATCACAGTCTCGACTAGAGGAAATTTCTTGCTTATCTTTAAGGAAAGTCGCTTTTGTGGCATCTTGATTCTGACCGTCGTCGTTTCCATCTGTCTGTGTCTCTATGCTTGATTTCTTCCGCTTGGAGCGCTTCTTAAGAAGTTTCTTGATCTTGTGAGACAACACCCCGTCGTCTGCGTCTCCGTCGTGGGCGCTGACAGCGTGGGCCTCGAACACGCGCGTGTCGACCACGAGGCCGTCGTCGTCGTCGTCGTTCGGGGAGAACTTGACTCGCTTCTTCTTGCGCTCCAGCGTCTCCGTGTAGGACTTCTCTCGCTTCAGCTTGGGCATCCTTAAGAAGGGGAAATGCGTGCTCCTGTTCTCCTTCTCCTCCTGAGTCTCCTTCAGGTGTGGCTTCCCCTCTTCAGCGACCTCGCAGAACGATTTCTCCTTCATCCCCTGCGGGGCCGTGGTCGTGGCAAGTCGTGCCTCCGTAGAAGCACGATACTGCTCACCGTCGTCGGACGGATTGTGGGGGAGGGTCGTCATCGTCGTGAGGGGATCGTTGTCCGACATTGTGGCAGAGATCGTGGCTTCGACCGAAAACATTTCGCTAGTCGTAGTTT